CCCCTAAACTCTAAACCCTAGGGCTGCCAGCCAAGGAAGCGTAATGGAAAGAGACATGACACTAGTCTAGTTGAGCGCTGCAAAGAAGGTGCCAAGAGTCAACAACATGGTGTGTCTGTTCTGTTTAATTTCCACCGTAGGAATGCAGGGTCGAGCAAATTACCACTATCATAGTCCTAAGTTCCTTGTGCAATGATGGCAAATGGTACATCAGTATCGAACAGGTGCTTATCCAGGCTCCTATAGTCCTCCAGCTTTTGTCCTGGAAGCACAGCTGTACCAGGTAAGTGAAGATCTCCCGGGATAGTTTAGGAGGTTTAGGCAGAAACCCCAAACCAGTTTAGGCCTGAGGCTGTAGGGATCACTCGGCTACTGATTCAGTCGAAAAGGCAAACCAGCAATTTATAGTTTACAGCCCCCCTGCAGTAGATCAAACATGGGGTATATGGNNATTCTACTTACTTAAGGGGGAGTACACACCCGGATATAAGGACAATTGTTCTTCAGCCCCCTCAATTTCTAGCTTGGTACACCTCCAAAAACTGAAGCCCTAAACGGTAAAGCCTAAACCGCTTCACACATTGCAGCTGCAGAGCCCTACAATGTGGACGGAGGAAATTGCACCACTTAGGACCTCCCTAACGTGTATATAAGGTGGTGAAGGATTCCATTCATCTACAGGAGCACGGTCTTCCTCAAACCCGAAATCCTAAACCCCAAAACCCAAACCCGCCTTGCCTGTGACATCCACAGTTGTGCGTTGCATTTTGGCCAAAAGGTGCACCTAAGGTGCCAACGTGTTGCTCTTCCACGATGGTCGATTGAAAGATGCAGTTGCAAACCTTTAGCCTAGGCAACCAATTAGCCCAAAATGGGTGCTACCTATATAGACTTGGGACCCGAAGTCTCATTTGTGGACTTGGAGCTTCGGCGTAGAACAAATACTTCTAGACACGGACCCCTGACCCGAGGCCAGGTAACCGGGGGTGAAGTCCCTACGCTCAGAAACCGTCGCTATTGTAAATATGTTTGACCTTTACTATTGTTGCTATTACTACTACTATTCTTGTTTATTGCTAGTACCGCCATTGTGGCTATTTTTTATTGGCAAGTTGTTACGGTGCTTACTAGTGTTATTCTTGTTGCTACTGTTATTATATACTATTACTAGCTGAAATGCTTACTTTCCTTGTTGCTACTACTGTTCTTGGCCCGGCGCTTTAACATGGCTCCGAGCTTATGGTCAGCGGCCAGCATGGCGCCACCCTGCTGGTAGCTTAGCACTCCCGCTGCACAGGACGTCAAGGGGTTTTGGGCAGTTTTAGGGCTTGTTTCTTCTCAGGACCTAGGGTCCATGTATGGTATTTACGCTTGAGAACCCTAGTAGTTTCCATTTTATTTTCCATTATCCCTATATAACCCAGATATAAACCCAATATACTACTGTAAACAATAAACTCGAGGTTTAGGATCATGGCTCAGGACTGGGAGAGAGGACTGTAGGGCTGGCTTGGTTACGACTTGAAACGACTTGAAACGCCTCACCCCTGAGGCCTCAGGGCCCCAGTACCTAAATAGGATGTAGTTTGGGTCTAAGACACTTGCTATATGGATACTTGTGGCCCATTTTTGTCTACTGTTTGGGTACTTGGACCTTTAGAGAAAAGTGCTTTCTTCCAAAGGCGTCCCAACACTATCCCGCTCGAACCTGCAAAGGATGATCTCATCTCGAATCGCTGGGTGAGACACGTGGAAGGATGTGGCTACACCCTTATTCCCGAGCCCCTCGGTACCTAAGTTTATGCCGGGTATCTTCTATAGGCAAAATCAAGTCCCTGAGCACGGGCAGGGTATAGGGGTCTAAGTATGGCATGGTGTTCCCCTAAACCCTAAACTCAAACCTTGAAACCTAGACCGCAAACCCCGCCATCGATCATGATATTTAGGGTATTCCGGGCTTGGTCCAGCAACAGTAACAACAGACTGGAAAGTGCTATGCGTCTGTTCCGAAAATTAGTGGTTAAGGATTTATCGTACGGTATGGTTTGGGGGTCTGTCTGCCCTGAGCCCCAGCCTCCACTACCCTGAGGGTGTGCCCAAACAATTTTCAGGGAGAGCATGGTGTTTCGCAAGCAGAAGATGCGCAAAACAGCTTGAAACCTGAAAACAATCATTCCCTTGTGTATGCAGGACACTTTGTGGAATGTCATGGTATGGCTGCTGCTGCGACAAGGCGGAGGTTCGGCTGTGAAACTGTCAGGTGTGACCATGCTACTGAGATATGGGGTCTTTCTCGCACACACAGCAAAAGGGTTCTCGTTGAAAGGCGTGGGCGCCTGAACCTTCAGGGAGTTGGCGTGAATGAGTTCGTTGTCTCAACGTTCGTGTGTGTGCGCGAGTGTCGCGCGTGCTCGGGAAACTCGCATATGTATGCTAGGATGTTGGTTTTGCGGTGGCGATTGCTGACGCAAGTCAGGAACAGATTTACGGCTTCCTGGATCTGTTGCACTGCCTCAATGTCTGTCATGTCACAGGATTTTGAGCCTAAACCCTCAACCTACAGTGCGACTTTTGTTACCCCAGCCCTGGCTACCGCTTGACGTCTGAGGGTTTCGGCTTTAGGGTCTAGGCTTTGGGGTTAAGGGTCCAGGCTCTAGGCTTGAGGGGTGTAACTGAATACTGGATAATCACATGGCAAAGAGAATGGAACTGACCTGGAAATTGGGAGCACATAGTGACATCTGTGTGTACATATGTGTACATGCCATCCCCCAAGTACCTACTCATTCTGCTTAACTCACGTAAAGAAGTTATATGTAAAAGCACACATAATGAAGATATGCATCTATAGGTCGTGTCATTCCCCTGACGGTAACGGTCCGTAAAGTGGCTTCGCTAAGGGGCTATTATAACATATGTAACCTTTTGTGGTAACAGTTTCCTGTAAGGGGGAATGACCTAATATAAAACAAACCCTAACCCCTAAACCCTAAACTTTAAACCCCAACCCCTCAACCCTAAGCCTTTTCACATAGGCTTTAGGGCAGAAGTGTGACTTCCCAGGCTCATCTCCGAACTTGCCTCCAAGTACCCGCAATGGCCTTTGCTAGGATCCGCCGGCACCAGCCGAATTCGTCGCCGCGGAGGCGAGCTAAAGGGTTCTACCGTAGGGATGATGGAAAGTAAAATGGAAACCACTATAGGGTGTGGGGTTTAGGGTTAAGGGTTTGGGGTGTAGGGTTAAGGGTTTAGGGTTTGGGGTTTTGGGTTTAGATAGTAATACGGTGGATGCTAAAAATCCTGCTTGACCCTGGGTATTGTAGTATACTAAGGTCATGCAGGATTTTAGTAGGAACAGTATCTAGGAATGTCTTGAAAGAAGTCCCTGCATAGCTCTTGAGTTCCCCATAAATACTTCCTCCTGACTTTCGGGATTGCCCCTCTAGGATTTAGGGTTCAGGTTTCGGGTTCTGGGTTTTAGGGTTTACGTTTATAGGGTTTAGGGTTGGGGATTTACGGTTTGGGGTTTATGCCAGGTAGTTGTCCTGCCTTGTTATGGTTCGGGCACGACAGAAAGCACACTGCCTACCTACCTGAGAAAATGACAGAGGCCCCGCCCGACCTCAGTGGTCTCAGTTTAGGTTTAGGGCTCAGGGCTTAGGTACCGCAAAGGTAGCTTCTGGAAAGAGACCGTCCCAAATTGGCTTCACTCCAGGTTTTTGAATTACCAGGTCCTAGGAGTATGTAGTACATGATCTTTTGGATTGTCTTCAGAGGTTGTGGGCCATCCTGTTTGCTCGTTTTCGGAGATTTACGTATCCAGCTTGCCAGCACATCAAAAAAAGGTGGAAACCGGCTAAATCATCCTTATCCCCCAACTGGGTTCACCTTGAGTAGTACATAGGGATCAAGCATGTACAGCATTTCCTGCCTTGCGCTGAAAAGGCTATCACCGAGAGTTCTTGGCATGCATCGGCTGAGGAGAGTCAAGAGCAGGTTCGTATCGGGGAGGTCTAGGGCTCAGGATTTAGGGTTTGAAGCTTAGGATTTCGGATTTAGTCAAAGGCTCGCTAACAGGGGCGTAACAAACGGGGGCGTAAGGCCCCCTGCCCCAAACAGGCCCAAATGGCGCAATCGGTCCCAAACGGGCCCATTTTGAATTTTCCCATTTTTGGTCCTTTTTCTCACAAGTCTTGAAAGATAAGT